TGTGTGTGTGTGTGTGTGTGTGTGTGTGTGTGTGTGTGTGTGCCCAGACTCACGGGGTGTTTCAAGTAAACCCAAGGACAACCCATTCATCAAGAATTGAAGGAAGCTTCAATTCTCCCCCATTTTCTCAGATTCTCTTTTAAGTACTTACTCAGCATCTGCTCTAAGAAAGGCTTCATTAGGCTTTAGGACTGGAGAAACACATTCTGCTGCCCTTAGTAAGTTTAGCGGGACCAGTACCTAGTGGATAAGCACTGACATGCTTACCAGTCTCCAATTCTTTGTACAAATTGACTTGGGTATGTGTCCTAGTTTGGGTTTCTGTTGCTGTGATGAAACACCATGACCAAAAAGCAAGTTGGGGAGGAAAGGGTTTATTTGGCTTACACTTCCAGATCACCGTTCATCACCAAAGGAAGTCAGGACAGGAACTCAAACCGAGCAGGAACCTGGAGGCAGGAGCTGATGCAGAGGCCATGGAGAGGAGCTCCTCATGGCTTGCTCAGCCTGCTTTCTTATAGAACTCAGGAGCACCAGCGCAGGGATGGCACCACCCACCATAGGCTGGGCCTCCCCAGCCATTCACTAACTCAGAAATTGCCTTACAGCCGGATCTTATGGAGGCATTCCTCAACTGAGGGTCCCTCTGCTCAGATGACTTTACCTTGTGTCAAGTTGACATCAACTAGCCAGGACAGTCATGTGACACACTGATGCAGAAGGGGATGTTCTCTTATGGTGTGGATTCTTGTAAGGAATATTGACATTTTCTAACATGTCAATTCTGTTCTGTTTACACAATAAGTAAGATGAGAGTAATCAAAACTGTTAATAAAGGGATGTTCAATTCTGAGGACCTTCTAGAACTGAGATTCTATGACACAAGAGAATACAGAATGGGTTAAGCATGTGCCTTTCATAAAAGAAAGGTACTATTACTGTCATAAGTACTTCAATGGCCACAGTGTCTGGATTTGTAATTCTGGGCACAGAATGAAATGAAAATGAAATCGATGACCAGACAAGCACTTTTACCATTTGTCCTCTAAATGCCACTAAAGTATTAACATCGAATCTGAGAGTAAGGCTGAAGAGGGGGGTTACCTTTCTGTCCATGACGACTGCTGAACTTGTCTCCGATCTCTGGCCGCCGCGTCTGTCTCAGAAGCATCTTGATGAGGAAAGCGTCCTCAGCATTGGAAGAGATCATCACTTTCTCAATGTAGGAGTCTGTGGCACCTTTGTACCTAACGTGACAACAAAGTCACTACAATGGCTTCTAATGCCCTCGTCAACCTGGCACCCATATAACACACTCTCTTCAATTCTACCACAAAATATTTTTATATTCTTCTCTCATGCTCTGAAAAATTATTTCAACATTAAAATTTATAATTTTCCTTTTACAGTGTTATGCATTTCTTACGAGGCAGACACAATACAGCAATCTTACAGTTATTCCTTTATTATAGACAACATTAACAGAGGTTAGCCGGTGTGAGAACACTTGCCTCGTGCAGCAGAGCTGAGCTTTGAGGGGAGAGTATCGGATTCAGCTCTGAGTACCTGATCACTTTTCCAACAGTCCCTTGACCTACGGACCATTTACATTATCACTGTCACACGCACAGTGTGCTTCATGTATTTTATACAACAGACATTCTGAGGAGTCTACTAAGAGTCAGGTCCCTGGAGTATGGACAGACAGCCATTAAAGGGGAGAGTTCCTGCACGAAAGCAGCTTGTTTCCAGTAAGAAAGAGGGAGGAAGGTCAATCCGTGCGTGCTACAGGGACCGGAAGCCCAGGCAGCTCTTACTGCTGGGGCCCAGGATGACAATGGCGGCGGACAGCGTGGGTGTCCAACACCACCACAGACCTGACTCTAGAGGGACATCTGCTCAGGCACAGGGAGCGGCCTGAGCCAATGGAGCGGCCCCGAAGTGGACGGTGCCTTTTGAAGAGACAGTTTCCTAGAAATGCGGGCTGGTGTGTATGTAAGGCAGAGCCAAGAGGCACGCCAGGGAACCTTCCCCATAGGCAACCTGCCATCTAGAACTTTACTCTATCTTCTCACGCCAGGGAACCTTCCCCATAGGCAACCTGTCATCTAGAACTTTACTCTATTTTCTCACGCCAGGGAA